AGTGTGCTGGTATTTCTTTCTTGATAATAATACACATTTTCTTACCTGGACATTTCTGATGCTATTGGCACACACAGCTATGCAAAGACGAAAACCGGGAAAGCTAATTAACTTAACCAAATCTTACAAAACGAAAACTGATTTTGGTTAAGGAGTGTTTTGACAACTGATATAGGTTACTCATTTTATCTGAACTAGTATGTCTCTATTGTAGACAAGAGCAATGTTGTAGTGCAATACTTTAGCAGCGTGTGCTCTAGGCCACATTAATGTCATTCTCTCTGTTTATTAAGTGCATTTGCTTTTATCTTAGTATTAAAATCATCAGCGGTACCTGGTTAGTAGAGAACCCTGCTGAGAATATTTTCTTCCTCCTCAAAATGCCTTGCAGACTTTGTTTTCTAGATTAAATGTTAATGTGTCAAGTTAATCCTACTCCATATCACAATGTAAATATATTTTAAGTAGATTTGCAATTGAAGAGACAAAATAATGTGTTTAAATAAAATATTTTCTTAAAAGAATGGTTTTTGGTCTTACATGAGAAAGGACTGTAATTTTGTTAACTTAAATAATTATCACTTTGTCATTCTCTCTATCCCCATATTTGGCTTTAGGCTATCTTTGCTGTACATGACTCTTCAATAATAATGTGTGGTATAGGAATCAAGGTACTGTGTTTTGTGTCTGCTACCAGCATGTCATTTCTAGTTCTGCAACAGGTGCATTGAATAAAGGCTGCATGGTGCAAAGAGGTAAAGGTCAAGTGCTTTTGAAACTCTCTGAATCATTAATGCAAAAAAAAAAAAAAAAAAATCACAAGTGTAATACTGCAGGTGGTCTCAGATGTGCAAAATTGTTTCCACTTCAGATAGAAGGCTGATTGGTATCCTTGGAAAGAAACATGTTTGCTGTCTGCAGTCTCTTTTTAAGAATTTAGTTTGGCTTGGCTTTAGGGAAAGTTGACAGAAGCTTTTTTTCCCATGCCCCCCTGCCCCAGCCTGCTGCATTTCCATCCTGTCTGCTTGTGAGTTTACCAAAATAAATATTGTCAAAAATATAGTAGACATCCTATTGTTTGCAAGAGATCACCTTCTGAAAAATGTGCTATGGCTTAAATATTTTATTCAATAAGTGTCTTGTGCTCTGTTGAAAAGAATTTTCACTGGTACCCTTAGTAGAAAATCCTTAAAGTACACTTAAAGCTCATGGTACTACCTTTGAATGTTGCTACACGGAGTGTATCTCATTACCTATAAATGCCAGCACTGTACTGCTAGTGTTCACCAGCTTGTAAAATTGTTCTTGTGGCAGCCTGTATTTCTGTTGGCTTTGGTAGTTTTAAGCAAATGTGATCCTTTATTCCAATTCTCACTGATTTATTTACATAAACTTAAAAAGCTCAATTACAGTGTATGTCTGGAGTTAGAATACTCTCGTTAAGGCATAAAAGGGACCTATTTAGGGGTAGATCATCTGACCTACAGGTCAGGAACCCTGTTTTTTCATCTCATTTCTACACTTTGGCATCTACTATGTGAGAAAGAGAAAAGGATGCTTTTTCACTTTTGTGAAGGACTTTGAGATCTGCAGAAGCAAAGGAAGATGCCATTAAACAAAAAAAAAAAAAGGCAAAAAAAAAAGCCTTAAAAAATGCATTTGCTCTATTTTTTTATTATTCTTATTATTATTCTGTCATGCTGCCTGTGTGAATACTGTTACAGGTTGTGCAACCTATAGTATCTGATCTTTAAACTCATTGAATAAAAGCATGAAAAACTAGAACCTTTCACACTGTGGTTATTAAAATCACAATTACAAGATAGAAGTGTAATTTTATGATCTAATTTGCAGTGGAAAATAATTGTCTTGAAGGTGGGGAGTCTGTCTGCAGTTAGTGGAACAGAAGTGTAAACATACCTTGGTTAATTGGCTAGTAAGTCATATATGCTAAAGGCTTCCTGGCATGTAGCAGGCTGTGTAAATTTAGACTATACAGTATATAAAAATACACTGCTGAATGTAACAAAGTGGTTCTGGTCTATTAAAATACTGGCGAGTGGCATAAGGGAACAGAGCGTACATAGATAAGGAGAGTCACTCTGTGAATGATTAGATAAGGTAACCAGGGGCCAGTCCCGCTTCTTTAGCTCTCCTAGTGCCCGGGGGTTCATGCTATTCGCACGCACAGGATTTTGGTCACTTTTGAGATAGAGCTAACTAAGGACCATTCCAATATTTGAATGAAAAGGACATAGGACGTGGCTCATATGCTTCTCCAGAACATTGTTGCTTCTGAGCAGTGGTTTTAAACTTCTGGCTGGAATAGTACTCTGCACCTGGGAGTCGCTCATTTTGATTGATTTGCTTAACTCATGTGTTGTAAACAAAGGAGTTTTGAGCCAGGCTGCACACATGCAGTTATTTTATGAAAGTTTCTGTGAATAGTTGTTAAGAAATTAAAATAGGAGGCAAGGAAGGTAGATAAGTTTTATGGTAGGCAAGAAGCAACAAAAATAGTATTGGGGTATGACAGCTTAGTTCAAAATTATGGTGACAGTCATAAGGACACATCATTCTGCTTTTAGAAGAAGGTAACGGGGAAACCTGACCTGTAGCACTGTAGGGTTTTGGGGGTTTTTGGTGTTTGGTTTTTTGGGGTTCTTTTCTTCTGTTTTCCCTTCAGACTAGAGACAAAAATATTAAATTCTCAGAACTTAACTGAGACTGCCATCCAGGGCCCTGGATCCAATGCATAGACTCCCTGGGTCTCATAAGGAGACTTAAGCCCCTCAGAGTACAGTGTGCTGACTCAGCAGCTGCTGTGTGCCAGCCTAGAGGGAATGCTGAGGGAAAGCATATATTGTAAATACTTCCTTTACTAGGGATTAAATGTTTAATAATGGCCGTTCTGGGATAGAGCAAAAACTGTTGTTATGTACTTATTGCCAATCTTACTGCTCCTTTCTTAACTTCAGAAAGGTTAATAACTTCATTTCAGAACACAGGTACTACGTTTACACTGAAAAAATAAAGGTACTGCAGTATTCTGTCTGTGAAGCTCTTTCAGATTCTTGTTTTTGATGTGGGGGGGTTGTGGGTGTGGGTTTGGTTTTTTTGGTTGTGGGGGGTTTGTTTGGTTGGTTGGTTTTTTTAAAAGCTTTGCAGAACTGTTTGTATTCTGATACTGAGTTCTGGCATACCTAGCTGATGTTATTGTACCATAACTACATTAATTTAAAAAAATGACCAGCTGGGTTAGCTCAGTTGGTTAGAACATGGTGCTAATAACGGCAAGTTCACAGGTTCAATCCCTGCTTACTGCAGGGGGGTTGGGCTCGATGATCTCTCAAGGTCCCTTCCAACCCAAAGCATTCTATGATTCTATGAAAATCACTTCAAACCTAATGGAGAGACTTAGGCTGTAATTTAAAAAACGGTTATGCACTTGGGGACAGGCTCATGT